CTATTACTCCTTCTACATCGACTTTCAATAGTAAACTTCTTGTTTTGACTTCCCCCTCAAGTGTCACCGTAGCCAACGATTCCAGTGCACAAAACACTGTTCCAGGTCTACTGAAACCGTGCTCTAAACTACACATTGGAGCCTTCAACGTACGAACTTTATGTCAAATCGGTCGACAGGCTTCCTTAGCTAGAACCCTGGAATTACGTACCATTGATGTATGCTATGTCTCTGAAACACGCATGCAGGATACCAGTGCGGACATTCACTTGACCTCACCTCGGCAAAACGGAGAGTCAACGAGATATACCCTCCGTGTATCTGGTGACGTGATGGTCAGCTCTCGTGGACTAACAGGTGTGGGCATGGCACTAAGCATGAGGGCGCAACAAGCACTGTTAAAGTGAATCCCCGTTAACAGTCGTTTATGTGCTGTTCGGTTAAACGGCTCAGTAAGAACTCGGAAGGATAGGGACATACGTCGTTGCCTTTTTGTCATTTCTGCATACGCTCCCACTGACTGAAGCCCGGATGAAACGAAAGATGAATTTTACAGAGCTTTCTAAACTCCTTCAGAATGCCAAACGTTCAGACAGTACTCGTAGCAGGTGATTTCAATACCGAGATAAGTAGTTTAAACCAAACAGAAGGGCATTTAAGTGAGTATTTTAGTATTCCGACACAACGAACAGATAATGGTGATCGTCTGCTGAAACTGTGCTCAGACAATCGTTTATTTTTAGCAAACACAAATTTTAAGCATAAGAAGAGACATCGTCCAACATGGCGACCCCTTACACCAAACCAACGACGGACTCAAATAGAGCATATTGCCATCAGTCATCGTTGGGGAGGCTCGATAGAAGACTGTCACTCGTTCTAGAACACCTATGTTGGACTCCTATCATGTTATAATAAGAGCACACATCTGTTTGTGCCTCACTGGACGCAAAAAAGCCACAGTAAAAAGACCCATTAGAACTGAATTGAGTAGCGAGAAAACCAAAAGTAAGTTCCAGAAACAACTGAAGTCACACTTAGGTAGTTCTGAAAACGAGGCTTACCCAGATGTTGCTTGGAAAAATTTACAAACAGCTGTGGAAACAACAGTGACATCTATCAGTGATTTAAACCACAGGGTTACAAAGACATCGAAGTAACTGCAAACATGCTTTACCTTCTATTCAAAAAGATTTGGGAGGAGGAACAAGTGCCGATGGACTGGAAAGAAGGGCACCTCGTCAAGATTCCAAAGAAAGGAGATCTGAGCAAATGTGAGAACTACAGAGGCATTACACTACTGTCAATACCAGGAAATGTCTTCAACAGAGTGTTGCTGAACCGGATGAAAGATGCAGTAGACGCCCAACTTCGAGATCAACAAGCTGGATTCCGTAAGGATCGATCGTGCACAGACCGAATTGCAACACTACGAACAATCAGTTGAGTGGAACTCGTCACTATACATAAACTTCATTGATTATGAAAAGGCATTTGACAGTGCGGATAGAAGGACGTTATGGAAACCTCTTCGACACTACGGAGTTCCTAAGAAGATTGTCAATATTATCCGGAACTCATACGACGGACTACAATGCAAAGTCGTGCGTGGAGGACAGCTGACAGATGCATTACAAGTAAGGACCGGAGTCAGACAAGGCTGTCTACTCTCTCCCTTACTCTTTCTTCTCGTGGTCGACAGGATTATGAGGACCTCGACATCTGAAGGAAAACAGAGAATACAATGGACAGCTCAAAATCAATTAGACGAGTTGGACTTCGCAGATGACCTAGCCCTCCTATCGCGTACACACGAACGGATGCAGACAAAGACAGCCAGTGTAGCAGCAGTCTCTGCATCAGTAGGCCTCAGCATACACAAAGGGAAAACCAAGGTCCTCAAATTCAAAGAGGAGAACAGCGATCCAATCACTCTTGATGGCGAAACTCTGGAAGATGTAGAATCCTTCACATACCTGGGAAGCATAATCGATGAGCAAGGAGGTCCAGATGCAGACGTAAAGGCAAGGATTGGTAAAGCAAGGGTCGCATTCCTACAAGAAGAAACCCGAAATGGTTTCTTCACAACACTTATGTACCCATAAGATGTTTGTGAATAATAATAATAATAATAATAATAATAATAATAATAATAATAATTGAAGAGCATATGGAACTCGAAACAACTTTCAACCAACATAAAAGTGAGAATCTTCAATACCAACGTCAAGGCAGTTCTACTATATGGAGCTGAAACTTGGAGAACTACAACAACCACAATCAAGAAGGTACAAGTATTTATAAATAGCTGTCTACGCAAGATACTCAACATCCATTGGCCGGATACCATCAGCAACAGCCTTTTCTGGGAGAGAACAAATCAGCTTCCAGCTGAAGAAGAAATTAAGAGAAGACGATGGAAATGGACAGGACATACATTACGCAAATCATCAAACTACATCACGAGACAAGCCTTAACTTGGAATCCTGAAGGGAAGCAGAAATGAAAAAGGTCTAAGAACACACTACGTCCGATAATAGAAGCAGATATGGATAGGATGAATAGGAAATGGAAGGAGCTGGAAAGGATTTCCCAGGATAGTGTCGGATGGAGAATGCTGGTGAGCGGCCTATGCTTCTTCACGAGGAGTAACAGGCGTAAGTAAGTAAGTAAGTTACAAAGAACCAATGGATTTCCTCAAGGCCTATTGCACTGATGGATTCTCGTAAACTCATCCCACCAGGCTCTGAACACGATGAAGAGCGACAACAAATCAGATATAGGTTAAGAAAAAATCTAAGAAACGACCGTGAGCAGTGGTGGGCAACGAAAGCAAAAGAGATGGAAAAGGCGGCGGCTATAGGGAACACAAGACAACTCTACAGACTAATAAAAGAAACTGGAATTATTAAGTTAAGTGTAAGTCAGAATATTTCGGAAAAAGACGACACCCTCATCTGCTCTCAGTCCAGACGTTTAGAACGATGGGCGGAATATTTCAGAGGACAGTTCAGCTGGCCCTCAGCCACTCTACAACTACCCTCTATTCCCAGACAGTGTGAATGGAACACTGAAGTAGGTCCCCCAACTCTAGCAGAAGTTCAAAAGGCTATAGTTAATCTGAAACGAGGAAGCGCAGTTGGTCCAAATGGATTGGCTCCAGAGATCTTTAAGGATGGTGGTCCAATTTGAGCGATTAGGTTGACTAATATTTTAGCTAAGATCTGGGAGTTAGACGTTATCCCATCTAACTGGTCACAATCACTTATCGTCCCAATATATAAGAGAGGGTTAAAATCATCTTGTGATAAACATAGTAGGATTAGTTTGACTGATATAATATCTAAAATACTAGCCTCGATAATTATCGGACGCCTAACAAAGACTCGTGAACTGCAAACACGAGAAAATCAGGCTAGCTTCAGACCTGGTCGTGGCTGCATCGACCACATTTTCACCATTCGTCAGGTTCCAGAACACAGGCATACTTATCGGCGTCGACAATGGTGGTCTTTCTTGACTTAGAAGCAGCATTTGACTCCGTAGACGGCGAGATTCTGTGGCAGTATCTGTCATTGAAAGGCGTATTTCAGAAGTACATAAACCTTGTGAAGGCTCTTTACTCGAACACTACTAGTCGAGTCAGAGCTTATGGCGAACTGTCATCTGCTTTTGCAACCTCAAATGGTGTCCGTCAAGGCTGTCCACTTTCTCCATTTTTGTTGAACTTCATCATAGACATACTGATGGAAATAACATTCTCGTCGACTGAATTTTCGAGGATCGATCTCGTACTAGGAGGTACAGTTATTGACTTAGAATACGCAGATGACACAGTCCTGTTTTTGGTGAAGACGCTGATAAAATGCAGTGTTTTGGTAGCACTGAGCAACAATGCCAGAATGTTTGGGATGCATTTCTCCCCCTCTAAATGCAAGTTTTTGTTTCAGGACTGGTCAGTGTCAACACCTGAACTATAGATAGCGAGTAAAGTAATCGAACGCGTGGACAACTTCACTTATCTTGCAAGACCGATCAGCCGTAACGGGCTGGTGTCTGACGAAATCTCAGCACGGATTCAGAAAGCCCGTTTGGCTTTTGTCAACATACATCACTTGTGGCGAAGGCGAGATATCCGTTTATCAACTAAGGGACGAGTATGTTGGGCGGTAGTTCGTTTTGTCCTACTTTACGGCTGTGAAACGTGGTCATTATGAGTAGAAGATACTCGTAAGCTACTAGTATTTGATCATAGATGTCTCAGAAATATTACTCGAATCTTGTGGGATCACCGGGTAAGTAATAGTGAGGTTAGACGCATGATATTAGGGCATGGTGGTAAATCAGTTGATGAGGTTGTAAATCTTCATCAACTGAGATGGTTGGTTGGGTTGACTCAACACTGATTACCACGTCTCGCAACTCTGACTAGTGTTGGAGACGGCTAGAACTAGGTTAGGGGCGGCTAAACCAAATCTTGACATCAGTGCTTGAAGTCACTAAATCCTAGACTGAACCATGTTGGTGGGTGCAGACTACTTGGTAGGGGTCCGCGTGACTATCGTAACCAATGGTTGGAGACTCTGTGTAACATGGCTCAGAATCGATTACAATGGCGTAGGTGTATACACTATTTATCTTCTCTTGAACCGTGAGATTAGAATTCCGTCATACCTTGCTTTTTACGAACCAATTGTCTCTTCCTGTACTATATCTGTATACACAATTTTTCTTTTACATATTACTACCATTGAAGTAACTACTTCTATAAATTTGGTGTTCATCTTGTTGTGCTAATGAGGTATGGCAACTTGGACCTATGCATATATGTGCTTGATCATACGTAATATTTTAATATTATTACGTATTCATTTGGGGAAATCGTCACAGCCAACCATGAAAAAAGTATGTTGAAACAATACATTAAAAAATCAAGCAAGTATAAAGAAATAGATTAAAGCAAAACTCATGAATGTAAACAGTAAATATCGATTGAGCTTCATTTTTCATCTACGTAGTCTGAAACCTCTGAAGTACGTTTACGAGAAGAACCTTCAAACACTGAACCAATTAAACCATGAGCGGTAGTTAACAAATTCACTGGTGTCGTCCCATCTGTAATTAATGTACTTTGTAAGCCCAAAGCGTTCAACATGCTCAGATTATGGTCTGATTCGGCTGTTGCCATTGCACGTAGTGTATCTGCACCTAATGCATTCACCATTGAAATGAAACGCGATTTCTCGATTTCTGTTTCGTCTTCCTTATACTTTAGAGCTAATTCATTCTTTTCCTTGATATAGGCGATCTCTGCAGCTCGAGCCAACTTGAGTCTTTCTAATTCTGCATTCTGAAAATATTGAGATAACGGGATATGGAAGATTAGATCTGACATCCATAAGTGGAAAACTTTCGAAGCACCAATGCGTCCTACAATCATTATTATCATACTGTAGGATTATTCACATGTGGTCTAATTGTAGAATACGGTGATTTGTCTATTAATGGTAGAGGTCGCTTTAAACCGCTAACCATAAATCAACTTCGGTATTTCCAGTAATTTGAGTACATGAAATCCCAGAGATTACATTTGTAAAGAATATTGTTTGGAAGATTTAAGAAATCTTCAAAAACAATGAGGATGTGATTATCTTATGAAATTTAACTGCCAGTTCAGCTTCCTTATGTTCTCAAACGTCGATAATAAAAACAAAACGTGACAGCAATTCTGTAAATACATTTTGTCATTCCTTCTCTCCTCTCATTACATTCTACCACTATATTTCCTCATTTTATTATTGACGTGTTTATCCGGCTACATTCCCAGTCTCTATGTCGCACTGAATGTGTTGAAACACAACTCCGGTTTGCACGCTTAGAAAGCTTTTTTTACAAACAGAATCACAAGTCAGAGCACGAAATTTAGTTACGCAAACTTATTGCTGCCGGATGACATTACTGAACATGTGCCTGACGTCATTTTTAAGCCGGATTCAGACTCACCATGCGACTGTCTACAAACGTAGGTCCTTCGTGTTACATCTCTCACCGACCAGCAGACATTTGATCAACTTTTAGCTAATGTAGAGCTAGGTGACAGTACACTACCTCAACTAAGAAGCCGCATGACAAATTTATTAGGGAATCGTACATTATATGAACGTCTATTTTATCAATTGTGGCCCAGACGTCTCCCACAAAACATCCAACAGATACTAGCAATTGAAGATGAAGATATCGATTTTGATAGACTATGTCTCGCTCCGTATCTCACATACAATCAAGCCCAACTGACAAAAGAATCGGAACACAGTTCTTAATCGACATTAGAGCAGACGTTAGTATAGTGCCACCCTCCACACTACAGAAAAACACACCTGACCCCAAACAAAATCTACAAGCCGCAAACAGATCTGAGATCAAGGCGGACCGTAAAAGGCAGTTACAATTAAATTTCGATCCTAAATCCAATTTTCCATGGAGCGTCATCATAGCTGACGTCCTCGTTTCTATAATCGCCACTGATTTTCTGCAATTCCATAAAATACTATTAGATGTTAGAAATCGGAAACTTGTACTTGCCTATCAGAGTAAGGAAATTAGAGGAATTGTATCTAATGAGACTTCCATACATTTATTAGTCAAACCTCATCACGAGAATGACAAATACATCAATTTACTTAAGCAGTTTTCAGATTATTACAACCGAGTTTCGAGCATGACTAACCGACGTATACCGTCGTACATCACATAAAGACAGAGGGTACACTAGTGTTCGCACGTCCAAGACGCCTTGACCCCTCTCGTCTGGTTCTCGTAAAGAGCGAATTCAACAAAATGATTGAGTTGGGTATCATACGCCCCTCCGATAGTCCGTGGGCATCACCGCACAATATGGTACCCAAGAAGGACTCTTCCGAAGTTAGACCTTGCGCTGACGATAGACCTCTAACAGCCGGTCTATACTAGACAGATATCCTCTTTCACATTTACATGACTTTACTCATAGTCTATGTGATGTGACGACTTTTTCAAAAGCTCATCTAGTCTGTGCTTACCATCACATTCCAATTCACCCGGACGATATTCCCAAAACAGCCATTACTACCTCATTTGGACTATACAAATTTGTGCGCATGCTTTTCGGATTAAAGAATGAGGCACAAAGTTTCTAGCGTTTTATCGACCAAGTGGTACGTGGCTTACCGTTTGTATATGCTTACATAGATGACCTACTTATCCCAAGCAAAGATGAAAATGAACATCTAACTCATCTGAAAATGCTTTTTGAGAAGCTAAAAGAGTATGGGTTAGCAGTCAACCCTGACAAATGTGAGTTCAGAAAACAATCCCTCAACTTTTTAGATCACGTACTTGATAATCAAGGCATCAAACCAGTTCCTAAGAAAACACAAGCCATCAAAAATTATCCTTTACCTGATTCACTCAAGAAACTAGGACGTTTCCTTGGGATTATCAACTTTTACAGACGTTTTATTCCGAATTGTGCAGACATAGCAAAACCGCTAATTGATTTATTAAGGGGATGAGTTAAATCATTAGCAATGACACCGCAAGCAATTCAAGCATTTGAACAGTTGAAAAGCGCCTTAAGCACCGAGGCATTACTCGCACGACGAAAGGTTGATGCACCTTTAGCAGTAATGACCGACGCTTCTAATGTAGCAGTAGGTGCTGTAATCCAGCAACGTGTCAATCAACAATGACAACCCCTTGAATTTTTCTTAAAAAAGCTTAACGCAACGTAAACAAAATATAGCACATTCGGTAGGGAACAGTTAACTGTCTACTTAGCTATCAAACACTTTCGGTATATGTTAGAAGGGATTTTTTTACGATATATACTGATCACAAACCTCTAAGTTTATGATGCACAATCATGATAAATACAGTCCGCGCGAAATTCGTCAAGTAGAATTCATCTAGCAATATGCAGCTGATATACGCTATATATAAGGCAATGAAAATGATGCAGCACATGTACTATCGAGATTAAATATCAATACCTTCTCGATCCTTGATATAAACTATCAAGACATGGCAAATAATCAAAAGCTCAATAGGGAGCAACAAAAAGTTTTGCAGTCTAAAGAAACGAAATTATTATTCCAAAACATCCCCATAAACAACAAAGACACCTTAACCTGTGATATCTCAACAGGTAAAACTCGCCCCTTTGTACCTTGAGACATGAGACGAAACAATTTTGAGAAATTACACAATATATCTCATCCAGGTATAACAGCCACTGTAAAGGTTATCACAGATAGATTTGTATGGCCAAAGATAAACAAAGATGTACGAAAATGGTCACGGGAATGCATCCAATACCAGGGGTCTTACTTACTTACGCCTGTTACTCCCAATGGAGCATAGGCCGCCGACCAGCATTCTCCAACCCACTCTGTCCAAGGCCTTCTTTTCTAGTTCCACCTAATTCTTGTTCATTTTTCTCATGTCTATTTCCACTTCTCGGCGTAATGTGTTCTTTGGTCTTCCTCTTTTCCTTTGGCCCTGAGTATTCCATGTGAGGGCTTGTCTTGTGATGCAGTTGGGTGCTTTCCTCAATGTGTGTCCTATCCACTTCCAGCGCTTCTTCCTAATTTCTTCCTCCGCTGGGATCTGGTTTGTTCTCTCCCACAGTACGTTGTTGCTAATAGTGTCTTGCCAACGGATCTGAAGTATTTTGCGTAGACAACTGCTAATAAACACCTGTATTTTCTAAATGATGGCTTTCGTAGTTCTGCCCCATACAGTAGAACTGTCTTGACATTTGTATTGAAAATCCCGACCTTGGTGTTGGTTGACAGTTGCTTTGAGTTCCAGATGTTGTTCAGTTGTAAATATGCTGCTCTTGCTTTGCCGATCCGCGCCTTCACATCTGCATCAGATCCACCGTGTTCATTAGTGATGCTGCCCAAATACGTAAAGGTTGTTACATCTTCCAAATCTTCTCCGTCAATTGTGGTTGAATTGGTGCATTCTGTGTTGTATCGGAGAATCCTGTTTTTCCCTTTGTGTATATTGAGACCTACTGCTGCTGAGGCTGCTGCCGCCCTGTTCGTCTTCCCCTGCATTTGTTGTTGCGATTGCGATAGAAGGGCCAGATCATCTGCGAAGTCTAGGTCGTCCAGCTGCATCCCGTCTGTCAACTGTATCCCGAGTTTCCCTTCAGATGTTGACGTCTTCATGATCCAGTCGATCACCAGGAGAAAGAGAAAGGGTGAGAGTAAGCAACCTTGCCTGACACCGGTCTTTACCTCAAACGACTTTGTCAATTGTCCTTCATGCACGATTTCGCAGTGCAATCCATCATATGAGTTCTGTATGATATTGACTATCTTCTGAGGCACGCCGCAGTGTCGAAGAAGCTTCCATGGTGTTGTCCCGTTCACGCTTTCAAATGCTTTTTCGCAGTAAATGAAGTTGATGTAGAGTGATGAATTCCATTCAACTGATTGTTCCACAACGATTCGTAGAGTTGCAATTTGGTCTGTACACGATCTATCCTTACGGAATCCTGTCTGTTGGTCACGAAGTTGGGCGTCTACGGAGTCCTCCATTCTGTTTAACAATACCCTGTTGAAGACTTTTCCCGGTGTTGAGAGAAGAGTGATGCCCCTGTAGTTATCACAGTTGCTAACATCGCCTTTCTTCGGTATTTTGACCAGAACTCCTTTTCAGTATGTTGGTACTTATTCCTCATCCCAAATCTTGCTGAAGAGAATGTGGAGTATCCTTGCAGTTGCCGCTACGTCTGCTTTCAGTGCTTCTGCTGGGATGTTGTCTGGTCCTGCTGCTTTGCCACTCTTGATTTGTCTGATGGCCATGCTGATTTCTTCAATTGTTGGTGTGTCAACATTGATGAGGAGGTCCGTGGGTGTTGCTTCGATGTGGGTTTAGTGGAGCTGGTCGATTCAAGAGTTCTTTGAAGTGTTCTACCCACCTGTTTTGTTGCTCTTCAATGTTTGTGATCACCTCGCCTTCCTAGCTTTTCACTGGTCGTTCTGGTTTGCGGTGATTTCCAGAGAGTTTCTTTGTCGTGTCATACAGTTCTCTCATGTTTCCTTCTCTTGCAGCCTTTTCCGCCGTCATTGCTAAATCTTCCACATAGTTACGTTTGTCGGTTCTGATGCTCCTTTTCACTTGTTTGTTAACTTCTGTGTATTCAGCTTGTGCCCAGGCTTTTTCTGCTCTTGTTCGACTGGTATGGATTGCTGCCTTCTCGTTCCTTCTTTCTTGAACCTTATCCAGTGTATCGACAGTGATTCATTCCTTGTGATGGTGCTTCTTGTGACCCAGGACCTCATGACATATTGAAGTGATTGCCTCTTTGATCCCCTTCCAGTTGCTCTCCACAGTAGTTCCTTCTCCATTGAGTAGATCATGAAAGGCCTGGAACTTGTTGCTGAGGACTATCTTGAATTTAAAGCAATTAGTCCCTTTTATAAATTTCGATAGAACAATGAGAAGACGGAGTTGATCTGAAAAATGTGATGTATTTGCGCTATACA